CGACGACGACGACGACGACGACGACGACGACGACGACGACGACGACGCACCAATTCCGACAGATTGGTATCCTCTATAATTGCTTTAAATCCAAATGTTCAGTTGAACCCAGCTCGGACATCTTCAACTTCCCACCCAGGACCCAGCGATTTTTTCGACCTCCACCACCATCCATCTCTACTGAGGACTGTGCAAGCAGGGCAGCGCTTTGGGACACGAAGCGCCACCGAGGAGGGAACCTTGACCTGAGGACGATGGGTGGAGGATCCAGTCAGTGCACTAACAGTGCACTGACAGAGTGGCCTCGTAACCCATGTGCCAAAAAATCATAGGCGTGGGTGGTCCTCTGGTTCATACGCCTGTCGGGAAGAACGAGCCTGTGGCTGCTTCTTCGACTGAAAATACATTATGAAACCTTTGAATACCTTTTGAATACCGAAACTATTTGGCAGAAGTTCTTTCACCAACATGAAACCGAACTTCCTCCATCGAGTTTGGCCTGTCTGCCATGCTTTTCGGACGGACTCCCCATCCACTCGACCTGAGCCTCCCGCAAAGAATTCTCTACCTCAGGCAATGAAGAAATGAGCAGGGACTTCGACCTTACTGTTACAGGGACTTCGACCTTCCAGTCACCTATCACCAGGAGAGCTGAAGAAACATGTCGAGACTGCCTCCGCCCACCTGCAAACTTCTGGTGATTGAAACTGTCCATAGGGAAAACATGGGAAAACCCTGGGGAAAAGGTTCGACAAAACGTTGCAAAAGGAAACACCAACTACCATGAGAAAATGTGTCGAAATGTGTCGAATACCCTTCCAAACACTTGGGCCGTCGCCCAGCCCTGAACACTAACTTGGATGGGGGCAAAGTGAATTGACATGTGCATCACTTCCGGGGTAATTGAGCCCCAAATCCGAAAATCCCTGACAACCCAAATTGGAGGTATCGCCGTGAGCGATACGTGAATGGGGTCCATAGTTTGCAAATGTCTTGAATGGGGTCTTGAGATGTCTTGAGATGGTGGGCAGGGATGGGTTTCCTATTGGTTTTGATTATGAAAAATATTCTATAGGATCTTAAGATGTCTTGAGGTTGGGAAATCACTCAACGGATCAAAGGTCAGCTGTGTTATTAGGTTGGAGGCCATTGCTATTAACAAAACAAGATCGTGTATCTCCCTCGGGCCGCCACCGGATGCTCCCCATTGGGAAGGCCACCGAGAAGAACGGTAACCGGGGGGCTGGAGCCAAGAAAGCGGATTCAAACGATTCAGGAATGTTCCAATCACCCTGATCCTCTGATTCTCTGATGGTATTTTGAAGAGGACCTTCTCTCCTGGGCTAGATGTTGACCTTCATTGCTGTTGGCATTCTTGTTGCTATGGTTGTCTTGTTAAGCAGAATCGTCGAGTCGATATCATGATCGGCGTGTTCCAATTCGTTCTCTGCCAAGTTCTCTGTATGGTTACATTGTCTAATGTAGCACTTTTCTGGTCATAAGGCCAGTGAGGGAATCTCCAAATCTCTCCGAAATGACCCTGGGTTCTTCGGCACTCATCCACCAACCAATTTGCGTAGGACATGCTTCGAAGGATTTGCTGCGACCGCATAAGAAGCTGAAGTTAGGCCATGCCGAAGCTGAAGTCAGGCGCAGCTTTGGCACCAAACCTCTAGCTTTGCCCAAAAAAAACTGCAGGCACCCATCGCTATCTAGCTTGGAGGCCCTCGCAATTAGGTTGGAGGCCATCGCTAATTCGGTTGGAGGCAAAAACCAATGTCGATGTTGGCCCATACCTGACAGCGGAATGGGGCTGATGCCACGAAAAGCATCCTCCCCCACGGTCTGATGCATCCTTGTCGTTGTGTGGCACACGCCCCTCATGCACACAAGGAATTGCAGCATGGTTCAGGCCTGCATGCATGTAAAAAATCACGAGCAATCAATCTAAACCTGCCCCACTCTCTCCAATGGAGAATACACTAAACACCACGACCATACCCACCACAATCTTAACTTAAAATCATGTGTAGACGTCCTGTTTTGATTAGAATGTGAACGTGTCTCGCCAGGCTGTAGTCACCTAGTCACCCCACCCGAAACAAACCAAGCTACCGACAGTGGTCGGTCCCATTTGTCAGCCGTGCGTCGCATCGTGTAGCACGGATAGCACAGAGTAGCGGTTCGATGTGTCCGGACGACTTTTCTTCTCACGGAGACCTTGCACCACTTCAAGAATGCTTGTTTCTTTAAGACCGGGAAGTTTGAAGGATAGGCCGCTAGAAGAGGTAGCTACAGTAGCCATTAAGTAGGACGCTACTACCTAGGACCTTCTTCAAAGAAACTCCCCCAGCCTGAGGCGGGGGGGAGCTTCTCTGAAGAATCGCGCTCGCACTAATAATTTGGTTCCTAAATTTTTAGGGACACTTGAGACCACCTAAATGAACCTTCAATACAAAGGTCGCAGAGACCTTGTACCACTTCAAGAAGTATCATTGATGGAAGCACTCACTGCCCAGATTGATCTTCGATAGTACATGACTTCTGCCATCACGTCTCATACTTCTACCTGGGGAGCACCGCCTCAAACGGCGGAGCAGCTCCGCTCCGGAACGATCGATACGCCAAGTCGGCCAAGTGAAATCTCACTGATCGTTGGACCTTCCCGTGCTGAATTGGCCGAGGGTGAGGTATGCCCGGTATGACCATGGTGACCATGGCATGTTCAGAAGGTACCAAAACATTTGTCATTCTGAAGAATACAGCGATCATGTATAAAACCAGTCTACCTTGCCAGGCACAGTCACCACATACCCCAAGTCTTGCATGTTGAATAATGTTTACTGTCATAAATTCTGAGACAAGCCCAGAATCTTGAAACCATCGTGAAATTGATGTCAGGCAACCACCTCAGTAAACACAGAAATTGAGAATCTCAAATGCAGGACAGTTGACTTGGCTAAAGATTGTAAAATCGTGTTAGCCATATTTGAAATCCTGCACCACCTTCCGGGCAGTTCTTGTGACGGACGCGTGAAGTTACTTACTCTCCTCACACTCGCATTGAAAGCCAAGGATGGTGTGAAAGGGGACGAACTACTTTAGCTCCTTTCATGCCGCGCCGAATGCAGAGGTCTGTCCCACCATCTGTGCCCACAGTTGCGGGTCTGCAAGTGGAGAGCCCTTAGTGCTGAAATACTGCAGTGAAAGAACTATTTGGTGGACCATTGTTGGCAAGATCCTTATATTATGCTCTGGGAAAAATGGAAGAAGACCAAGCAAGTGAACCACCTCACCAACCACTTGGAATGGCGATTGCTCAATTATTGCAGGGGCGAGCCTGCTATCCTAGAACTCTGGCATGTTCTGGTACCGTTCATGAATAGTCAGATCTAGGCCACACTCGAAATAGGGGTAGTGGATCTCCATTCGCTCCTTTGCGCTATGCTCGGTACTGGCTAAAAAGGAAGAATGCCATGCCAAAATAGGATTAGCGGCTATAGTGGTCTCTCTCTTGAACCTCACCAATGTTGACTGGTGGAACAACCAAAGCACTTTCGCTTTTGTTCGAAAGTCCGGCGTGACCTGACGCCGCGTCTTGCGGCCTCAAGCAGCGGCACCTGCCAAAGATCAAATTCAAAAGGCCAAGTCGACAGTCCACTCCATGGGGGTCCACGCGATCCAAATCTGTCCCTAGTTGACCTTCGAATCCCTCAGAGTTGTCGCACCTTCTTCTTAAAAAGGATGGGTACATGGCCTTTCAGATTCAAAGTGACTTTCGGAACGCAGTCTGCGGAGTGACCGCAGTCTGAGGGTTGAGAACCGTATGCGACGTGTACACCAATCGAACACGTGAAAAACGCGTGTTTGGAGATGTCATGAACACGTGTTTCAATATCTGTATCAGTGGGATGAAAGGCTAGGTTTTTTCTTTGATTCCGATTGACCCAATGAAACAATTCCTGACTTCAACCTATTTACACTAGTCAAGGTCCTTTGCAGAATCGAAGATCCAAACTGAAGGAGCAACACCTTCAATCAATGCCGCCATTCAACATCAAAGACATAACTCAGTCGGAACTATGCAGCCGGTGTCCAAGTCGAAAGCAGCCATAAATGATGCTTCCATCGCTTTGTGTCCACGTTGTGGATGCCAAAACCAGTGTCTGATGAATCCAAACACGTCTTGCAGCCTTGCAAATCCAACTCGTATGCCTTATGAACAGCTTCCCCTGGTGCCCCGGATCCAAGTGCCCAGGATCCACAAGACCCTTGGGAGGTCCACTACTAGTCACTAGACCCTCTCCTATTCTGCCTCCTGGCTTGCTTTGGAATGAAAGCAACAAAAAGCAGAATGAAAGCAAAATGGAAGCAAAGTGGAAGCAAAAAAAAGCAGAATGAAAGCAGAATGAAAGCACCATGGAAGCAAATGAAAGCCACATGAAAGCCACATGAAAGCAAATGAAAGCAGAATGATAGAAAGTGGAAGCAACAATAAAGAATACTGAAAGCAAATAGAGCAAACTGCAGAAGAGAGCATTATTTACAGTATACAAGTACCAAAAAATCCTTCCTTGCCGCCCCAACAACGCGTTACCCCGCTTATTCTTACGAATCTCACTCACATTACAATATGTTTCGAAGAAATATCTTCAGCAATAACGGATTGCTTGTTGATAGACGGCCCTGGATCAAGCCTTCTCCCTCCACTCAGTGCACGCCTTGGTCTGCATCTTCTCTGCCTCACCTGCAGAGAAGCTGCTCCCGAGCACGGCCAAGGGGTTCATTTGCTTAAGGATCTTAATTGAAATCCAGAAAGCTTCAGGTACCAGGTGGGATCTTTCAGTCTTTCAGCAAACGTACCTCAAATAGGGTGGGTCGCACTACTGCTATCACTGAACGGTGCTGGTTACTATCCTTGGTCCGTGTCAAAATATGGTTTCTTTGGGGGGCAAAAAAAACAGCGTCCAGTCGTCCCTCGCATCTTGAGTTGAGAAAACAACCTGCAGTGAACCCACATGTATCAACATCTGCATGGAGTGCTCTTCACATATTTTCACGGCAGCATCTCTCAAGTCACTCAGAAAGGGCGTGCGGCCAAGACATTCTACAATTTAGACGGAGCGCTTGCAGCATGGCTGAGATGCCTTTTTGCAGAAACAAACAAAGTATCTCAAAACACCTCTCTACCCATGACAATCAAATCGAACCAAACATATCCTTCGCTTACCTCCTGCCTGGGAAGCAGTGAATGCAGAATGGAATTCAAACACATGTTCAAACAAAACACCTGAGTTTAACAAGTCGTTTTGGCTTCCAATCTGTTTCAGTTCCCTTTCCCTCTCCACTCGCCCCTGCGCAGAGAAATCCTCTGCGCACTGACGAACCCGCTCCCAACTGCGCCTCGTGGGTGGTCTTGGCCCAGAGGAGGTCGTAGGCGCTTTTCCCACATCGCCCAAGCGCCACCAAATGCGTGACCTCACGGTACTCGCTGCACCATGAAGAAAGAGTCAAAGCCGTGCCGGTTCGCGGAGTTCGCGGAGTTTTCGCATCCCAAATGGGTGCGTGTGGAGTGGACACCGGTGAAACAAGGGCCTGAAGTTGATGCAAAAGAACAGAACTCTGATGAATCTGGATTATGATTTTGGGCATTTTGGGCCTGCAAGCAGGATTGATGTGGGAGTTGTCAACACTGTTTACAACATTGGAAGCGAAAACATTCGGAGAATTGTCAGACTCTTCCAACTTCTTGTGCTAGAACATGTTTAGAACACATTCTCTTTGAAGCTACCTCCCCGATTTCTCCAATCTTCAGAGCTTCTAGCCCTGAAAGAGGCCGGACTGAGGATGCTCCGTACAGAGCAACTGAGGGCCTCGCAGCAATGCATCCATCTCTTCTCGATCTGAGCCAGCCGGTCGCGCTCTGCGAGGAATGCCGCTCTTCCCAAAAGAGGTGGCGTTTATACAAAGTCACGAGTTGATATATATATATATATGTAGCTACATCATAGCTACATCTTCCAACTACATCATTTCCGCCTTTTCATCTATCAAGCGTGCCAAAATGCGGAAACTTTACATAATATCCAAACATCTATCCTAGTCTTTCCTATTGATGGTGCTGGACAATTGAGAGAGCCCACAGCCTGCAAACAGAAATTGCTTGGGGCGCAAGAAAAAAGAAAGGGTTCTTTGCCAACAGCGGGCCTTTCAAGAAACCGTTGCTTTAAACACGGGCTGTACATCCGGGGTG